CGCAGCGCCCCGCGCCGCCGCCGGATTTGCCAGGTGAGGGAGCGGGTGGGAGAAACTTTCTTGAGAACGTGGAGAAATAGCTGAATTGGGAGGCATCATTTCAACGCACTGCTTTAAGAGTACTTTCCAGGCCCTGTGCTAAGTAGTGTTATAGTAAATGACTAGACAAAGTCTAGTTGATGCAAACAAATGTATTTCTTTTCAGACTGTCATGAAAAGAAAGCCTCCTTTCCGAGAACTGCAGAGTGGGCGGAAGGCTCCAAGTTTTTATAGGGCAAAGAATCAAGAAAAAGTAAGAGACAGAAAATATCGAATTGGCTGGGGCCACATAGCCAACCTTGTATAGGTGGAGGATGGCCCAGAGTTGGCTTGGCCTTTGGGGCTTTGGCTGAAGGGAATATTTACGTAATGGCAGAGTTTTGATTTCGTTTGCCGCTGTACAATCCTGGGCAGGTAATGTTCCCAAAGACCCCTAGAATTGTTCTTTTCACTACCTAGCTATTAAGTTACTTTGCTTAACCAAAACTGCGTCATTTGTTTCGTGCAGCCAACTTTCCAACAACAAAAAAGTCTGTCCAACTCATTTTTGGAATGTGTTCTAGAGTTTTTTTTTGAGCTTCAAGAATCCTTTTATTGTTGCACACATACAAGGTCACAAATGTAGGGGATCAAAACCACAGATTACCTAAATTACTTACCCCCCCCCTTTCCCCTCACTTCGGAAACATCTGACAGCCTACTGTTTACCAACTAGTGCTCTAGGTGCTAGACTATAGAGATGAGCGACATGGACTGTAATAACAAAGGACCCCCTTCTGTGAAGACTTGTAACTCTCTTGGAAGAAATAAGCTTTAGGGGAAAGAGAAATTGTGAAATCTGCTGGGGGCGGGAGAAGCATAGTTACTAAATCAAACAGCTGACCTTCACTTTAAATTTTTCCCTGTCTGACTTGAAAGATGAGTGTGTAACCCTCAGGTGGAGCACAGGCAGTGATCATCATTCCACTAAGAGAAACCAGCTTGCAAAGAGGAGTGGAGTCCAAACAGGGTGAGTGGTGGGAGTAATAAACAGGGTAGGTGGAGAGTTGGTTTGTGGACAGATTTTTAAGCCTTCTTGGCATTATGGATTCTTAAGCCTTGTATGCCAATTTATTATTGGTAGATGTTTGTCAAGCACTATTCTAGACATGTAAATGACTTCCTGCAGTTAAATCTAGATTTGGTTAATTATGGGAAAGTGTGAGTGAGTGCTAATAAAGAATATAAATGAGAACAGACATTTAAATATTTTATTGTAGTCTAGAGTATTAAAGGAGATGATCTGGAGTTACTCTGAGGAAGAGAAAAGTGTAACAGGTGAGGAATCACATTCCAAGGGGCTTGGAATGAAGAGAAAACCTAAAGGATTTTAGGAACTGAAGGAAGTTACTTTTGGCTGTATGATAAAGAGGGATGTGTGTGGCGTGCAATGAAACTTGCACGGTACATTATATAATGACAGCCTAAAACCAAATCAAAACTTGAAAAAGACGTCATATATTGACTGAAATAGAATATTTCTGATTTTTTGTTGTTTGCTACCTACCTTAGGCTAATGGTTTTCTTATTGAATATACATTTATGTTAATTTTTGGGTTTACTAAATTTCAGAACGTGTAAAATGGGTTTTAAGAGAATAGCTAGCTTATACCCTGTGCAGAGAGGGGAACTCTTTGATCACTTTTGCAGAACTGTTAAAAAAAAGGAGAGACACCTTTGATCTCAGATGTTCATGGGGCTCCCTTCTCTTTCCCTTTTCCTGTGGTGTGGTTGTGAGCTCATTCTGCTGGACTGAATCCACTTGAGGCTGGACAGCAAAGCATTCTGCATAAGTTTTAAAGTTTCACTTTGCCCTGAAGAAAGTTTATAAAAGTTGTAAATGCCTTAGAACCTGTTCATGTATTCTAAAACTAATTCAAAATTCGGATGGCTTAACTCCATGTTTATACAAAATTTGAATCTTAACACTTGTTCCTTCACTTGTACTTTCAGGTACTGTAGTAGCTTAATAGTAGCTAACATCTTGTCATCTCCTCAGCACTGAAGTCTTTGTCTCTGAAATTAGAATTGGGATGAAAGTGTACATATAGGCTATTATCAAATTTCTGGAATTGGTTTCCTAAACAGAGGTCAGCAAATCTGGTAGGCTTAAGCAGGACCCTTGAGTTTTCATGGTATTATTTTGTGGCACAGACAAGGGAATATGAAAAGAGGAGAGAAAAGAAGGGAGAGTTAGCGAAGGGGGATTAAGTGAGGGGAGAGGAGAGAACATGTGGAATTAATAGAGAGAGGGCTACATGAAGTATTTATAAGGCTTACTTGGAAAAATCAGCATATCAAAGATGTCTAATGAGGTATAATATTAGTTACATGAATATTTAAATTTGTAATCATTAGGGGGATTTGCCAAAGGAGAGAGATGCGAGGCTTGTTGAGAGTTAAAAACAGATTTATTGACCCCCCCCACCCCCGTTTCAGGTGGGGTGAGGCTCAATGGGCAGTCATCCCCTTGAGGAGGTAGAGACTTTTTTATAGCGCTTAGTCAGACTCTGTGGTTTGGCAAGGGCTTGTGGTCACTTTGTGGTTTGTAGGTTGCCAAGTTCTGGCATCCGTGTGTGTCACCAAGTTCCTGCCTCTGTGACTGCTCATACCAAGGTGGGAGTTTTGGACTCGGGTTGCCAGGGACCTTATAGTAATGATTTAAAGATAAGGAGAAATAGATCTGATGACATCTATACCAGTTGTCTTTGTGGTGCTGGATAGGAAGGAGGGATAATGTATGAAGACAGAAGAGACTCATTACAATGAGAGAAGATATATTGTTTATTGATTCTATTATCCCACATTAATAATTTAAAATGCTAATGATTTTATGAATCATATTCCATTATTTTATTTTTTTTAATATATCTTTATTGATTTCAGATAGAGGAAAGGAGAGGAAGAGAGAGAGAGATAGAAACATCAATGATGAGAAGGTCATTGATTGGCTGCCTCCTGCTCGCCCCTGACTGGGGATCGAGCCCGCAACCTAGGCGTGTGCCCTGACCAGGAATCGAACCCGATCGCCTGGATCCTAGTCGATGCTGAACCGCTGAGCCACACCCGGCCGGGCCATTATTTTCTTGTTTAATTCTTTGTTCTTTTCCTCAAACAGAATATTGTGGAAACTTAGGCAAGTTAATTTTTTTAAAATAGCCATCCAACTCCTTACTGGGTTTCTTTGGCACATTTCTTTTATACTGAAGTCATGGTCATTGTGAAAAACATCAAGACCTCTGCCTCAATTTAATTTTTAGTTGAGTTGTCTTTTGTACATCTGACATGTCCCCAGGGGCAAAACATGCATAGAGCATACTCCAGGTAAAAGCAAGCGTGGACATATTAGAGAGAGAGAAGGAGGGAGGGAGAATCTTTTGACTATAAGTCCACACAATAACAGTAATGGATGTCACAAACATAGTTGAAATCAGACACAAAAGTATACCATATTCAATTTATATAAAATTCAAAGCAGGCAAACATTCTTGGATATTAGAAGTCAAGATAGTTGTCATCCTTATTTGGAGTGGTGCTTGGAAGGTGGCACAATAAACCTGAGATTCATGTTATCTGCTGAGTGCCATTATTTAAATGTATTCATCTCGTGGAAGTTCATGGAGCTGTATACTTTTCTGAATGTGTTTTATTTCAACGGCAATGCTTACATAAGAAAAGCTTGTGCCTGGCCGGGCGTGGCTCTGCGGTTGAGCATCGACCTAGGATCCAGGCGATCGGGGTTCAATTCCCGGTCAGGGCACATGCCCAGGTTGCGGGCTTGATCCCCAGTCAGGAGCGTGCAGGAGGCAGCCAATCAACGACTCTCTCATCATTGATGCTTCTATCTCTTACTCTCTCTCTCCTTTTGTCTCTCTGAAATTAGTAAAGATATATTTAGAAAAGAAAAAAGAAAAGAAAAAAGAAAAGAAAAGCTAAGCTTGTGGGCACACTTGAGATTACCCAAGATAGAAAGAAGGGTGACAGGACCCTGGGGAATACAGAAACCACAGACACATTTCTATTTCTTTCGCTGCTTTCCTCAGGACCCCTTCTAGCTTTTTCATTGAAAATATTACATAAAGTAAGGATAATGCTAAGAATCAAATTTCTGTTAGAGAACCGGATTGTTCTTGTAACATTTTTGCATTGAGACTGTTTCTAAGTGGACATTTGGACTGAATTCTTAAATTTTGGAAAAGTTAAAGAGTTGGAAAAAGAACTACTGTCAGAAAGATTGCATGAAGTCAGGAGATGGTGCTAAATACGGAGCAGCAACGTTCTTCTAAACCTTCCTAGTGTATTAGGTCCTAGTAAATGCATTGTAACTATGTCATCATACCTTGGTGGTATACTGAAATAATATACTTTGTGAATTATTTGGTTTGAGAAAGGAGGAAAAGGAAAGGAATTCCATACTCACCATCTCTTCAAAGAGTGCTTTTAGAAGTGGGTAAGTACTCCCAATTAAACAGAAAGGTCTATTAACAAAAAAGTATTACAACAGTGTCTGTTCATCTGAACTACTGTATGCTTATGTCTTTTCCAGAAATGGCAGCAAGGCTTTTGAAGACATCATCTATGTCTAGAAGGACAAAATTGCTACATCAAACAGGATTGTCACTTTATAATACATCTCATGGCTTCCATGAGGAAGAAGTAAAAAAAAAACTTCAGCAGTTTCCTGGTGGATCCGTTGACCTTCAGAAGGAAGACAGTGGCATTGGCATTCTTACTCTGAACAATCCAAGTAAAAGGAATGCCTTCTCAGGTAAAGAGAGCTTTCTTTTGCTTGTTGAAGAATGACACTAAATCTTATCTGCTGTTACATGACTCTTAATGCTTAGTCTGGTGACATAATTCTTAAAAGTCATGGTACTCTTTGTAGAACATGAAAACAAAACAAAACTTATAACGTGAACCAGGAACATTTTTACTAATGATGGAAATTTAATGTTTTTCTTTAAAAAAAAAATCTGGGAATGCAGATGCTGCTGTGAAGGAAACTGTCAAATTAATCTTGATTATTTTTTCCATTGAAATTTATTACCTGCTTAATCACTTCATTTGTTTGTGTTCAGCTAATGTCACTGGGAGACAAAGGAAAAGTGGTTTCAGAGATTTTTTAAAACTAAAGGGAAAAACCTATAAATGAAAAAAGAAATGACTCTTTAGCTTAAATTTTCTTTTTTTGTGAATTGAAATGACTGTGATTTTAACTATGCAATTCCAATAATCAATGAAAACACTGCACTTGCCTATTTGTTTCTCCTTCCCTAACTCAGATACTGGTAAATACCTTGTGTTTGCCTGGCAGCAACTCTTAGTATATAAGAAATTTTATATTTAAGAGACCTGAAGGTCCAGGATAATGGTAATTTGTAATTTTTTTCCAAAGCTCAAATTTGAATTATGCTACCATGATGTTATGCAAGAACTAATGAGTAACCTTGCTGACTACCCAGCCCTTGTATTTCAAGGTGATTTTGGCAATTTTTCTATTTGTCAGTTATATACTTCATGGGGGGAATTATATTTTGTAGTAATATTTGAAATATTGGACTCAGAAATATCTGAATACATTTTCATGTATCTATATATAATCATACCTATAGACATAATTCAGGAGACTGTAAACTATAAATTATTAATGGTGGGGTCTTTAAACTAGAGATGCCTTTTCTTTCCACTCAGAATTCAGAGATGTCTCAGTGTTAACCAATAGCAATATAAGACAAGACACAAATATGAGCCACGTATGTAATTTAAAATTTTGTAGTAGCCATAATTTAAAAAGTAGAAGAAACAGGTAAAGTTAATGTTAATAATATATTTTACTTAACCTAGTATATTCAAAATATTTTAACACGTGACTGATATAAAAAATTAACAGGTATTTTCCTTTTTTTAAATACCAAGTCTTTGAAATCTGGTGTGTATTATACCCTTACTGCATGCCTCAATTTGGACTAGCTACATTTCACATGCTCACTAGTACCTATATGTGGTGGTATCTACTTTAGTGGACAGTGAAGTTTCGTACCTTCAATGAGTTCAGAGAATAAAAACCTAGGAAATTAATAATAGCCTGGGAAAAATAGAAAGGTAAACTGCTGTAAAGAATTAGATTAGATTAATAGTTTTAATTTACTACTGAGTAGATACAAATAACTTATCCTAGTAAAACTTTTTATTCAAATGGAAACATGTTAATTTGACACCCAATATTTAAAACTGATACAAAAAGAGCTACATTAATGTGGATAATGGTGTTTTTGGTGGGGGTCGGGAGATGATCAATGAGCCCCATACCACACAACCACTAAGGCCCTTGTTTGAAAATCACCCAACCAGATACTCTTTAAGGTCCCTCTCAACTCTTAACATGTATTTTACAAAGTCAAAAAGATGAGTTCAAGATTAACTGCTGGTATAGATTTCTCATACTCAAGACCAGCATTATTTTCTTTTTTGAAGCTTAAATATTAGGGATGACTGGAGATTCATATTTACCTATGTAGATTTATTCTCACTATAAGTGTGTGTTTTTCTGTTAAAAAAAACCTGTTAGACTATAAATCTTTTGTGAGCAAGAACTATATTTCTAAAGCACTTACGACATCCTTGGGAAGGTCTGCCGATTCAACTAAGTCATAATTAGCAATTAGGATAGTTTAGTTATTTGTGAATCAATAACATTAGTTTAACATTCACTGTTGGACCTCTTCACTCCTGGTTACTTCAGAAATTGGCAAAGAAAATAATACTTCTTGATGCAATGGGGTTTATATTTCAAAGAAATGAAGGTAGTTTAGTGGGCTATATATAGTAAGTTTTGAAACCTTGTGGTACAGATTTTGCCAATTTTAACCTTCTGTTATGATCTTCATATTGGCTTCTGAACCATCTTCTTAATCTGAGAAAAATGTAAATTTAATCATGCAGAAAGCATTTTGAACTTTATGAACTTGGAAGATTTACGCAGATAAGTGTATTAAAAGAATGACAGTCTCTGCTGTTTCCATTTTAAATTTGTCCATTGTAAAGAAGCTCCAGTAGAATTTTGGAATGATATCAAGCTAACAGTCTAACCTATAAATCATAGAATTGATGGTTGGTAGGCATTTTATTGACATTCTGTGAAGCGCTTCCATTGTATGCTTTGGCCTCAGCACAATTTGTCAGCCATGGAATAAGATATTTAGCTCCCCTTTCCTGCACTGGCATCCTGTTATACTAGTTTTGATGTGAGTAGGGTAGGAATGTCACCTTTGTTTTGTATACCATGTGCCCAATATATCATAAGATCTCATAGTCTTCTGGTAGGCAAATACTATATTTGAATTAGGGATATAGGCATACCTCTTGTTGTGAGCTTGTTGACTAAGACACTTAATGTGTACTGCTGTGAAGTCAAGCCTATATTTCATTTTTACCCTAAGCAAACAATATTTTCTTCAAACCATATCCCATAGTATTGATCCCAATGTCCCTATTCCTAGGACATGTATGATAATTCTCATCTTTCCACATAACCACATGTTTGTGTGATTTCTTAATTAAGATATATATATAGAAGGATATCACTAACAAATTGTGAACTTTTAAGGCCAGGGCTGTTATGTATACCTTTTTTGTATATACTTCATAGTACCAACACAATAGGTATTTGACATTCAGTAAATATTTGTATACTATATGATGTAAGAGTCTAGTTTGACCACTTATGCTTTCTAAATTATCTCTGTTTTTTCAGTATCTTAGCTGTCTGTGACTCTCCCTTCCCTATCTGGCAGGTGTTATGATGCTACAACTTTTGGAAAAAGTGATTGAATTGGAAAATTGGACAGAGGGGAGAGGTCTCATTGTTCGTGGGGCAAACAATACATTCTCCTCAGGATCTGATCTGAATGTTGTGAAAGCAGTAGGAACTCCAGAGGCAAGTATATATGAATTATGCTCTTAGTTCTACATGTTTATCAGACAGCTATGGCTGAGATATTTATATTTTACTTACATGGTTATTATCATGACAGCTATTCTTTAATAGCTTTCCAAGGATCAGAGTTTTTGTTTTGCTTCTTAAAGATGAGGTTGCAATAGTGTGAAGTAACTGGAGGGGGGTGAAAAAGGAAGGACAGGAAGATTAGTAATAACCAAAGTACATTATTAAGCCCAGCAATAATTTGAATTCTTTTAAGTGGAAGCCTCTTAGCATCTCCTGATAAGGAATTTTATATGAGGTATAATATAAAGTATCAAATGTAGCTTTGATACTTTGGTACATAGCAGACTTCAACAAATGATAATTTAAAATTTTGCTTTGAATGATTACCCCGATAGAAAAATAATCCTAATCATCTTCCATCATCAGTCTTCCAAGGAACTTCTTTTTCTTGAATTCAAGGCTTCCACATATAGCCCCTAGGCCAAAACCAAAAAACAGACAATAACAAAATGAGAGAGAGAGACAGAGAAATGAAAAGAAAAAGGAAAAAAGTATCTGTTGCCATTTAATTATAGATATGGGCTGTATTTAGGTAATAATATTTTAATAGCATTCCACAATTCTCACACCACTCTATGTAGTATATAATCTGTTTGCATAAATATGTGAGACAAGAGTTCTCTCTGGGTAATTTTGATAGACTTGGATTTGAATGCTGGTTTCAACACTTCTGTTATTGGGCAATCAATCTTTCTAAGTCTTATTCTCCTAATCTATAAATGAGAATTCTATATTTCACAAAACTATTGTGAGGATTCAAGATAATGTATTTAAAGTGCCTCCTAGTGCAGTGTAAGAAAAATGTAGCTATTTTTATTTCAAAGGTCTTGATATTAATTAATATTATCCATGAGATGATTCATAATTTATAGCACCACTAGAGTTAAATTTGTAATGTGTCTGAATGGTTAGACCACTAAGCTAGAGAATTGAATTGGATTCTTGCCCAAGCTCTACTAATAATTAAATGTGACCTGCAAGTCATTTGATTATAATTTTTCATCTCTAGAATGATTTTATTGCTAGACACTTTAACTTGCTCACAAAAGATATTGTAGAGATAGAATGAGATAATAGATTATTGTGGGTCTGATATAAGTTAAGTAGGAAAACATCCCTAAAAAAATGAAAGGTGATTTTTATCTCTTTAGATCATGCAGCCAGGATTTTTCTTCCTATGTATATAAAAGCTAGAAGTGCAGACATGCTAATTGTTTCATGTATATATTGTTGGTCTGATCTAAGCTGTGTAGGAAAATGTATAGTTTTTATACGGACTTAAGATAAGGGATCACTTCAAAAAGTCCATCCTTTCTCGTGTGGACATTCTCCAGGTTATCTGCTCTCTTGAATGCCTGCAGTAGAGTAAGATTGACTTTTGATCAGCAGCTAAAAACTAAGGTGGTGTGGCCCCATGCTAAAATGTCACTGGAAGTGTTCATCACTTGTAGTTGTGCACATCTGCCAGCCCTATCAAGAAAGTCTGGAGTCGTGATGTTACTTTATAATGTGCACGTGTAGAACCCAGATCAGTACTTAACGTGCCCTATTTTATTTAAAGCACTTTCCTGGGTAGATGAATCCTTTCTTGGATTTTTATGAAATCTGCCTATTAATAGTATAGGAAATGTGCAGCATAGAAATAAGTTATTTGAGTAAAATTCTCTTATGGGTAATATTAAGAAACACAGTAATATATATAAAATATGTGGTATATTTGTCACTTGATTTTAAAATTAACAAGCACTAGAAACAGTATATATAAAGTTCCTGATAAGTATTCCTGTTTCTCATATAGACTATTTCTTTTTTGTTATTGTTGTTAATCCTCACCTGAGGATATTTTTCCCCTTGAGTTTTAGAGAGAGTGATGGGGCGGGGGAAAGAGAGAAACATTGATGTGAGAGAGATACATCGATTGGTTGCCTCCTGTATGTAACCTGACCAGGGCTGGGAATGAAACCTGCAACACGGGTACATGCTCTTGACTGGGAATCAAACCTGAGACCCTTCCATGTGCAGGCCAGCACTCTAACCACTGAACTACACAGGCCAGGGCTAGACTGCATTTCTATATGTCTGATAAATAACTATAAATATGTGTAAAACTGAAATTTAAAATGGCCTGGGGACTTTTGAGGCTCATATATGTGTATGAGTTGCAGCTGCATATATAAATGCCTCTGCCCCTCACAGCCAAGATATCCTGAGACTCTTAACATGGCTAATTATGAACAGCCTTTCTCTCCGTGAGGCTTTTCTTTATCTAATACAGTTACTCTTTGTTGTTGCAGATGCATCATTAGCATTGCTTATTTGATGAATTTGCTTTTTGAGCATTGGATTACTTTCCTTTCTAATTATAATAAAATACTCAAAAGTGATTATTAAATGGCTTTCTTTTCTTTTTTTTTTTTAAAAAAAAGATGGTTATGTTGATATTTTTGCCTCTATTTTTTCAATTTAAAAAAATATTTTATTAATGAAAATTAACAAATATGAACAAAAGTAGAGAGACTAATACGGTGAAACCCTCATGTACTCATTGTAGCATCAGCAATTATCAACATTTTATTATATCTGTTTATCATTCCACTTTTGTTTTTAATGTAGCTTGTCTCTTAAGTTGTTTTCATTTTGGTGCCCTTTGTTTAATAAGCAGGAAAAGAACTTCAGCTGTCCCTATTAGGCAATTAATCCTTGGTTGAGAAAGTCCAAGCAGAGAGATGGATTAGCATAGCATGAGCATTAGCCCTGAAAAATTATGGGACAGAGAAAAGAATAAAATAGGAAAAAATCTAATGTAAGTTTTAACCCAATTACAAGACTTGGATTTGATATCACAGATGTTCTGTAGACCACAATAAGTCTTTTTTTCAGAGGGCAAAAATAATCAAAATCCAATTATAAGCTTCAAGATATGGGGAAATAAAAACCTGCTTACTTTGCACTAAATGGGTATAATGCCTCAAGGAAAAGTCTGACATTTTGGAAACCTTTATGAACTTAAACCTAGTTTAAAAAGAATATCCTCCTCTGCCCCCTGACCTACCTTGTTACTTTTCTGCCAATCAATTGCTCCTTATTTCTTGTTGTTTAAATTTTGACAGTGACCTCCAAGTTCTTGTCTAACTTCTTGCTTTTGCTACTATCGAACATCCCATTTTAGACTTATTATTTTACATACATCTATTATAATTTTCTCTGAGCCCTTTCAGAGTATTTTGAGGAAATGAATAAGTCCTTATAACAAGCATTTAGGGAAGAAAAAGAGACTCATTTATGGTTCTAGGATAAGATACTTTTACAGATTAGGCATTTTTCCTCTTAGATAAGTGTGGCTTAGAGTAAGTAGGATGTTAATAGTTCCTTTGGCACTTAGGCTGAGTGTTGTGCTTCTTATTTCTGTTATAAAAGGAAAAGCTGGAAAAGTAGGGTTGGGTCTTAGGAAATCATACAGAAAGGATGAAAATACCATTTCCTGCAGCATCTCTACTAACCTTTTTTTAGTATTTCCCAGTTTCCAGCTTTCATTTGTCAGAGTGCGGGTCTAGCTTTTCATTGGTTCCTTTCCTTTAATTTATTCTGTCACAAGTAGGGATTTATCTCTCATTGGCTTATTTTCTTCATTCCAAGAAGAGACGTGAGCCTTTAAGCATTGTTTGCTCAATGGCTCTGGGAGCAAATCGAATCAATTAACTCTTCTTTCTAGGCCGTGTTGGCTAGTACGATGTAATTTCTACTATATGATGCATTTAAAGCCAAAGCATATCTGATTGCCAGTGCTATTAGTGATAGTAATAATAGGTAACATTCTTGTTCTATTACCATACATGAGGCACTGTTCTAAGTGCTTTTTGTGTTGTAACTCATTTAATCATTACTAATGAAATAGGTGCTATTATTAGCACCACTTTACAGATGAGGAGACAGAGGCCAGAGAGGTTAAGTATCTTGCCCAAAGTCAAACTAGCTAGTAGTGGAGCCAATTCAAACCCAGGCAGTTTGGCTCTAGAGTCTGTGGCATAAACCATGATTTCATACTGCTTTTAAACATTTTTACTGTGACTCTTATTTTTTGAGTGATAATTATAATAGTACACAGGCTAACACCTGCTTCACTTTCATTTCTACCAGTTCTAGATACTTTCATCAGAATTTTAAATCTAGTACTGTAAATCTAGTAATAGAAAATAGGCCTATTAAAATTACTTTGAGATAATTTAATAGGTTCTATTGGACAGATTTTTAATAGAATATAAATCATTCCAGTTTTAAACCGCTAGCTCTTTGTGCTTGTATACCCTTTGTTACAGAGAGAGAGAGCAGATTACTGAACAAATAGGAGATTATTAGAAAGCTTTGAGGGGAGTCCTGAGAGAGGCTGAAGATGAAGTTATACTGGCCTGAGGAAAGTATGAGATGACAAAAAAGAGGCAACATGTTCAGACTGCTGTTGAGAAATTGTTTTTATATGTTTATATTTTAGAGGACCAGGCAGAGTTTGGGGAAATAGGTGGGTGTATTCTATGTCTCTTCCCTCCATGTTACTCTGAGTAGAACGCCATACTCTTCTGTGGTGTTCGATCTAGCTCTCACCTCTAAGTCTTTGCTAATACCTTATGCAAAGCTAAGCTCAGTGAGTCCTAGAACATCAACAAAATCCAAAACTGCATCATTTGCGTGTAGATAGCATCAAAGAATTTTAAATGAAAACCTCATGAAAAAAAAGTTAGGTGTATTTTTGGCTTTATTACTTTCTAAATCCTGAACATGTTTCTTTGTTTTTTAAAATTTCTTGTACGTTTGCATTATGCTCTTGTGTTTATTTTTATTTAAAGGATGGAGTGGCCTTATGTATGTTCATGCAAAACACCTTAACCAGATTGATGAGGTAATGTATTTTACTTTTTAAAATATGATTTCTAAAAAGACAAAAATAGCTCTTTGTTCTGTGTTGCACCAGTAAAAAAGTAATAGCTGATCTTCAAATTATATTTATTCTAATGATGAATTACTTATTTGTGCCATCAAGGATAGTCATTAATTAAATGTTAGTGAAATATATGCAGGTTTTTAAAAAATAAGAGACATGAGAGAAAAAGAATTTAAGATATAGCACTTTTCACTAAAGAGCTTATATTACTAGCTATATGTACTTAGGAAAATTATGTGTTATACTTACACTAGCCATATGTATAGACATGGAAAAGTTCAATATTGATATTGGAACAGGATAAAGACACAATCAAGAGATGACACATAAAGGTTACCTAATCAAAATCAGTAGAATGTATAGTGATGTCTGTATCCTGAGGAGAGAAAAAGAACTATGGATTGGAGAAACCAAGAACTACCGGTTTGTGAGGAAGATGGATTCACTTTGTATTTGGGGTTACAAATGATGACATATTTGGGCTGTTGAGCTCTCTTCTATATTCTAACTGGAAACAACTTAAAAACTAAGGAAATTCATATTTATTTAGTATCCTTGTTACCAGGGAGACGGGCAGGAGACCTCGGTTCTTGTCTTCTTGAGGGAAAGATTTAAATCAAGCGACAAAGTGTAGAAAAGAAAGCAAGAATTTATTGGCCGCAGCAAATAATATACTTAGGACAGTGAAACAAGGAAGGGCATAGAAGATGCAACAGGAGAGCCTAGGCTGGGCTGCCTTGGCTCACTGGGGAGTCAGAGAGAATGGGGCCTTGGAGACAGGTTCAGGGGTTAGTCCAGGGCCAGGACAAGCTGCCACTGCCCATTGCTCCCCTGGTTGCAAGTCTCATGGAGCCCCTTAGAGGTAAGAAGGGGGAAGGAGATAGTGCTGGCTTGCTCCCCTGGGGGCAGAGGGGAGAGCGCATTGCCTGTCTTGTGGAGTCCTCTGGGAGGGAAGAAGGGGGAAGGAGATGGCTCTGGGGTACTCCCCTTGCGGGGGGAGCACACCGGGACCTTCATTTTCAGGGATTTTAAAGTCTGGGTGTTTAGGGGAGGTCTTAGGGCAGGATCAATAACATATTCATCAGCTTTATGCTGGTGTACCAAAATGAGATTTATTCTCTTAATTTGTCTGCCCTTGGCTGTGGTTGACAAATAGCACTAATTGGGTTTCTGTTGTCTGTCTCCCTGAGTAGGGTGATTTAAGCTATTTACCCTCTGGCTGGGGAGGAGAAATGTAACCATTTACTCTCAAGTGTCCTTTGTATAGGAAAGATAGGATATACTAGGTGACTGCAAACTGCTGTTTAACTGTCTTAGCTTCCCTGTTTCACTTGTCCTAGAATTTTCCTAGCTTCATACTATGCTATAACATACTTACGAGTTGGACATCACTGTACTTTTGTTGTTCTTTGTATGTGAGAGTCTAAAAAGAATAATAGAATGGTAGCATTATTATCCTAAAATACGTTTTTCATTTTATTGGCTCCTGTTTGCCTGTGTCTCCCTATTGCATTTGACTTTTCTTAGATAAATCTCTTTTTAAAGTGTTTTTTTTTAAATAATTAGTTTTAGTTGGGAGAAGTGTGTTAAGAAATTTTCAGTTGCTTTAAAGCTACAGCTATGCATTGCAGTTCCACACTTTCAGACTTACCTTTTAGACTTACCTTTTATATGGACACAGTCTTGCACTGCAAAGTGGGCCTTTGCAAACAGGAAAGGTGAAGAGATTTAACACAGAACCATTCCTTTATGTAGGAATTGTCTATAGGTCATTTCAGTGAGTAGTGAAAAGATAGGAACCTTTTTAATAACACAGTTTCGGTGCTCATTCTTCTTTACCACGTTTCCTCCCTTTTGGATACAGCCTTAACTTTTCCAGCTATTACCTGATATCAATAAAAATGAACTTAGACAATATTACATTGAATTACTCCTGATTGCCAGTAAGTAGTTGAGTAGTGCCAGGAGCTGTATATTAGCCAAAAACATCCATTTGTTTGGAATAAAGTTACAATCTGACTATAGTTTTAAAATGTACAATGATTTAGAGAGGTATTTTGATAAATGTATATGGCATTTAGTATGAATTAGTATATCTTCAGTATTATGCTGTTTTGCTCCTCATGATGCACAAGCTATCCTTTGAGGTTTGTTTCGTATAAACATAGTTCAATAATTTTGTTTATATTGCATGTTAAGTTTTTAAATAATATTTGTAGATTAATATTGAAATTAAAAATGTTAACATTCATTTTTCCTTCAATATACAGACTTCCTTTAATAAGTGTTGCTCTGGTTCAAGGCTGGGCATTGGGTGGAGGAGCAGAATTTATTACGGCCTGTGATTTCAGGTAGGATGAAAATCTCATTCCTTCCTGCATGGATATAATTAACATATGCTCAGATTTTTTTCACCTGAATGTAAATATTTTATATAATAATAAACAGGAAAATCAATGGGCAAATTTTGTTGTTAATCATTAAAGTAGATAATTTTAGTCAGTTGAGCTAACTGTACCATTACTTTATTACCAAGCATTCAGAAAGTTAACAAAACAAAATGACTAAATAAATCAAATCCATTTTAGCAAAATACCTGGGGAGAGAAGCCAAGGAAACACATGGAGCAATACAAAGAAAAGTAAAAAAAAAAAAAAAAAATGGAGAGAGACTGCTGTAGTAGTCATCCTCTTAATCAGTAAAAATACATTTTCTTATCTTTACTGTGATTTATAGTAACTGGACTGATTAGGGAATCAAGTTATTTGGGACCAATAACCCTTGAATCCCTAGAATTCTTTTTAGTATGGGATAGCTATGCTTTATAGGAATGGCATCTTGTAGAACCTAATGCTTCACATGTGCCTGAAACTGTGTTCTCAGTTACCATTCCTAAGACCTACTAGTTTAGCTCTAAGGAGAACCAGTACAATGTTTTCGATCTGTACAGATTTACACACTTGAGCCTCTTTAGAGTACGAAAGGTAGTGTATATAACATAATTGGAAATAAAATGGAAAAAGCGGTAGAGCTCAGGCACTGGAGACAGAGAGACTTAGTTTCAATCCCAGTTTGCCACTTTTATTTGACTTGAAACATCCATGTAGTAACAATGAGTGTATCCACATTTCATTACTTTCCTCATTTCCCCTCATACAAGGTGTCACAGGATATTTTAAACATTGCCAATAGTAATTACACTAATAAACATTCAGAAGATACTTATAATTGTTTTTACTTGTCAAAATAAGTGTGTTTAATATGGTTTTATAAATTGAGTCTGCTGTAAGTCTTCAAAATTTTAACATTTAGGCCCTCCAGTTTTCTATGTAGATTAATAGATTATATTTTGCAATAAATGTACCTTTACATTACAGGTGGTACCAGGTAACTGCATATAAACTCTAGAAGTAATCCTATAAGGTTTATCAGGAAGCAGTTTCTATCTTTGGATATATCTTGTCGATGGACATTTTCTTCATAAAGTATGGTTATATTAATTTTTAGATTACTAAAGAGTTTTGTGAAAGGTTACATGTTTCTCTCATTGTTAGAATAAACTACCTGTGTTCTTTTGTCACTAATACATTTTTGGTCATATTAACTAACGTATATTAAATGTATATCAGTACGCAAACACACCCTAGGTATATGATATATAATGAATGGAGGTCACAGTTTAATCACAACAGGTATTTTTACAAAGGTTCCCCCAGGATTTGTTAGAGTTATAAAATATAATTCAGAAAGACATACCTCACCTTGTAAAATGTGGCAAAGGAAAAAAACGTGCTATAAAGATGATGATCAGGATTCTTCATTAGAAGCAAAGAATTCCAAATATAAATGTGCTTATAGAGATAACTTTTGTTGTCATAAGTTCATCTCCACTATCCCAGCATCTAGGGCTTTAACCAACTTCTTTGTTCAGCTGATTCTAAATGAATTTATTTCTGACATAATCCTTTTCTGTATTGTAGGAATAGCTCTGAGCTAACATTTGTTTCAATTCCAGGTTGTAATTTAGAACTGTGATATATTACGTTTATTCTGTGAAAAGCTATTTTATAGGATTGTGTTCAATGTTAACTATTCATATCTCTAAGACTATTTGGCATTATTTTTGTAATTTCTATTCTTCATTTTTGACATTGTTTTCTGTTTATTATAACAAGACAGTACCCCTCTCAAATTTGGGACTAGGTTCAGATTCTTAGGAGACTTGTTTTTTCTTCCTTCCAATTTAAAAATTATGTATTGAAAACTATTTTCATGGCTATTTGTCTCTAAAAGCAATTGTTCATAATTAAGGAAAATTTGCCTTTGTAGGAATTCACAGCTGTGAAGAGAAATTCTTTCCCAGTGGTTTAATAACTAGGCTTTTGCCTGGCCAGCCCAGTGGTTGAGCTTTGACCCATGCACCAAGAGGTTGCTGGTTTGATTCCTGGGGGAGCTGCGGGTGGGTAGGGCACGTAGGAGGCAGCTAGTCGATGTTCCTCTCATGGATGTTTCTATTTCTCCCTTCTTCATCTCCCTTCCTCCCTCTCTAAAAAATCAATTAAAAAAAATTAGACTTTTGTGAGAATTCTGTACTGGAATATTTGTTCTGATTAAAGGGTCAAAGACTAAGAATCTGTTCTTGGTGCTAATAGAACCAAACCACCTGCAGCTGAACCACGCCAGCCAGGGCCCATTTTATTTTTCTGTGAAGAATAATACCACCACCATTATATTCAGTGTCTTTCTCTAACAGGAATGTAAACTGACATTGGTAGTGCTTAGTAAATATTTGCTGGGAGACTGGATAGATACTGGGTTAAAAAACAATTTTTCTTTTCCTGAGGACTACTGACCCTAACTATGCATATCGACCCTATGGTATGCACCTAACATTTCATGCTCCTGTATGTTCACTTAACCTAGATTTTCTTATTAGACTACTACTTACGTTAGAGATACACTCTGGGCTTTTAGAAATAAAGACTAGATTCTAAGCAAGCACAACAAAAATGTTGACATTGTTTTTAAAGGGAAGTGTTAAGTACTGTGAATAAATTGAATGCTATACTTAGCCAGATTTTTTGAACATTGTTTTTAATATAACACATCTATCTATGAAGACCTATGTAGATTTCAGATCATGAATGGTTAGTACTTTATGATTAAAGCATATGTACTTAGTTACAATTAAGTTTTTTCTCTTTTGCAGATTAATGACTCGAGAAAGTGAGATCAGATTTGTTCACAAGAAGATGGGTTTAGTACCAAGCTGGGGCGGTGCTACCCGGCTGGCTGGAATTATTGGCAGTAGACAAGCTCTCAAAGTGTTAAGTGGGGCCCTCAAACTGGATTCAGAACTAGCTTTAAACCTAGGAATGGTCGATGAGGTCTTGAAGTCTTCAGATGAAACTGAATGTCTCAAAGAGGCACAAGAGTGGCTAAAACAGTTTACTGAAGGGCCACTGGAAGTAATTAGAGCTTTGAAAAAATCAGTTTCTTCAGGCAAAGAGCTTTGTTTCCAGGAGGCACTACAGACGGAAAGAGATCTTGTAGGAACACTTTGGGGTGGACCTGCAAATTTGGAGGCTATTGCTAGCAAAGGTAAATTTTGTAAATAGTTGTTTTTAAGTATGATGTACAACTCCAGTGATTAATATATAGAAAAGTTAAATATTAAACATGTCAGAATTACGTTGAAGGGTACCAGTAGTATTTGGGTGTTTTTAATAGTTTTTTGAATACATAAACTTATTGGCATAGTTGTCAGTATACTGTAGTCCCCCCCCCTTACCTGCAGAGGGTAGGTTCCATGACCCCCAGTAGATACCTGAAACTGGATAGTACTGAACCCTCTGTATACTGTTTTCCTTTACTTACATACCTGTGATCAAGTTTAAACAATTATAATATATTGTAATAAAAGTTATGTGAATGTAGTCTCTTTTTCAAAATATTTTATTGTACTATATTCACCTTTGCACTTATACGAAGCACTTTATTGCCTCTCTTTGGCATATCCAAATTGCCAGCATCATTATTTTGGCATTTTGGAGCCATTAAGTAAAATAAGGTTTATTTGAACACCAGTACTCTGATCCTATGAGTCTGATAACAGACGGCTCTTAAGTGACCAACAGGTGGGTGGAGTACACAGTACAGATACTGGACAAAGGGACTCAAGTCCTGGGCAGGATGGAGCAGGACAGTTCGAGATTTCATCATGATACTAAGAACGGCGTGCAATTTAAAACTTAAGGCTTATATCTGGAATTTTCTATTTAATATTTTCAGACTGCAGTTAACTAGATAACTGAAACCTCAGAAAGTGAAAGTGCAGATATGGGTAAGGGGAGGAAACTACTGTATGTGGGTATTTACCAAGTATATCTGGAACATTTGGCTAAAATATACAATACTTTTGATTTAAAAATTATTACCAATTCCGATAATGGTTCTTAGGTTATAACCAAAGCCAGGTTTTTAAAAGGAAAAACTACACAAAACCTATTCTTGGTGTTATTTTTCTTGTCTTTATTCTCTTACCTGGAAATAATTTACTTTAAAAAAATTAATGAAATTTGAAGTTAAAGAGCAGTGGAGACAAGAAAGGGTATGATCATCTTCTGCTCTAAGCAGCTCAAGTAAAGAAGTCATGGGGAATGGCCCCTTTTAAAAATAAAGGTGCTCCCCATCTCACCCCCCTACAAACTTGGAGCCCTATTTATTTGATCTAATAACTAGTTCTGTTTTGTGTGCCCTGGAATTTACTGTTTATGTAGTAAACAAAGTTTAACTTTATATCAAAACTGCCTAAGACTTTAAAGGGACTCAGAAGCATTCTGTAACCTACATTTCTATTTTTTTCCTGAAAAGTAGCTAGCCTTTCTTCTTTTCTAACTTTTAAAACTAAATTTAATGAAACTACACAATTCAAACTCATGATTACCCCACTAATAGACTTACTTCCTACCTTGCCACAGGTTATACATTTCCTGTAAAGTAAATTTGTGTCTACTAATATTGTTTACAAGTAAGTCTACCATTTAATTTAATTCAGATGAGTATTAGACCACTAATGAAGACTTGCAAGACAAATATAAAATACTTATGGTCTCTACTATCAGTTACTGAGGAAATTTATCTCACCAGCTTTAGTTCTATTTCCATATGTATTTATTCCATGCACACTGCTTGCAGATTCTGTTTAAATACTATGAAAAAAAGCAGACTCCTTTGAACAGGTGACTTAATTAAGCTGAATACCACCAAATGAAACCACACTTTTAGTGACCTTTGGCTACAAATGTCAAAATGTTTCCCTCCCCTTTCCAGACTCAAGAGACAAATGATTTTTGATAAACTCTAGTGTTTATTAAATTATAAATTTTGTAACCAAAGAAAACTGCAGAGCAAGAGAAACTTCAAACTACAAGGACTACATAGCAAAGTCTATGGGAACGCAATGAATGTGTTACAGACAAGATTATGAAACATAAGTTATTAGGTGTTTTCTTTACATTTCCATTTCAGTAACTTTACTATTAAGTAGTTTTGTTTATTTTAAAATCCCAAATTCACATGTATTCTCACATTAAGCTTCCTGTTAAAATTGATACCAGACATCTCATAGGTGCCAAATTTTAGTAATGGTTTTATGTCAATCCATGCAGAAAATTAACACAAAATCCAAGTCGGATGGGACCATTAATGCACAGGTAATAATACACACACGCTGGCCAAAGGAACAGAAGAAATTTTTTAAAACTCTAAAATAAACAGACCTCAAGAAAACTGGGTTATTATTAAACAGCTCTCAACTATTAACACCCAAGTTCCTTATATTAAATAAATTTCTCAGCAGAGACATGTTAGACATTTTAATTACAGGTCTATCCTTCCTATACCCCTTTTCCCACCCCAACTCCCAAAATGTACTACTAGGGATGAGTATGTTATGTGGGCAGAAATTTACAGATAACCATTTTAACCTTGAGCATGGAACTGAAGACTTGATTTAAACTTCAGTTACTGTGCACTGTCCATCAGGCCTTCTAGATCTGACACTGGCACTCACTGTTCCACCCCCTGCTAGTGATCCACCAGTTTCTGACTGATCTGATTGATCAGATACTGTCTGGTTTGCACTGGGAACCAAAAGTCTCTGTTGGGTCAAGGACTGTTGTGCAACAAGCGCTGATACATCCTCACTCTCACTACTGGCGTCTGATTCAGTTTCTTCAGTGGAGGTGTCTGGTGCTGGTACCCTGCCTAAAGATGGTAACTCACGATCTTCTCCTTCCCCCCTATGACTCCTTTCAGCCAGGCTGTCTCCACTGAGTTGTAAATGAGCAAAAGAGTCTTCCAGAGAAGTGTTTGCATCCGGGGATGGTGTTGCAGGGCTTGTTAACTGAACATCCACTGACGTCAGGGGCCTTACAGACGAAGACACTACAGGCTGAACGGCAGCTCCACTCTGTGCTGATCCACTGTCCGCTCCATCAGCAGAGCTCTCTCTCGCTAGGTTTACGGTACTAGCATCACAGTCCAGCCTAAGCCCGGCTACTCCCTTCTTTGGTATATCTATTATATCCCGCTTAATCTTCCTGCGACGTCCATGTTCATTTCGCCTATATTGAACCATATTTTCAAGATCAGCAACATACAGAAACCCGGCAATTAACATCTCAGTGCTCTTTTTACCTTTGGAAAAAGCATCTTCCAGTTCCCTACTGGTGCGTTCATCATACTGCCACCACCCGTTTCTTCCTTCATAATACCATGCATAGTCACCATTTCCTCTACTCGCTGCCTTGAGCTCTTCTGGTGACAGTAAGGTTGGCTTGTCAAGGAAATCCTCAGGAATTTCTTGTCGACAGAGGGCACATCGCTTTCCAAGCCACGAAGCTCCCTTTACACACAGATAGCAGAAAACATGCTTACAAGGCAGACTGACTGGGTGAACACACGTCTGCAGACAAATGGCACATTCAGGGACAGTTAGAGAAGGTGCAGTATTAGAACAGGACTCATTTGCTTTCCTGTTTGTAGGAAGCATGTTTATTGAGTGATCAATTTCACCACAGCCAGCCATCCTAAGAAAATGAAAGAAAATACATACATTAAGATTATTATGTTTTAAGTCTTATCTGAATTCAACAATTCAGAAAAAACTTATTAAGCACCTATTATATGCAAGTTGTATACTAGACAATGAATGGGAATACAAATATGAAAATATAGGAAAAAACTAACATGAAGAAAAATCTTTGGTTTGTACGTCACTGATTTTTACTTGTGGAGGGGAGGTGGGGCAATCAGGCACACAATTAAGCCCAAAATAAATAAATACAACTAAGGTACAGATAGGTTTTAAATAAATATTTCTATTCAGTCACAGCCCTTGTAAGATAGAACTACATGCAAAGATTTTAAAATGTACCATCCATTCTAGACTGACTGTGACAATCAATCTGGAAAGTAGAGAATCAGAAAATGGCTGGAAGTAATTCAGATGACAATTACAGAAAATGTTGATTTTGTAACCTTTTAGTTACTGTCAATTTTGCAAATACTACCATGACAATATACTTTCGGTACTTGGCAAATAAACCATATGAAATTAAGACTAAGGCTGAAATCCCAGAAGTTCCCTATCCCTGCTGTAATCTGGAGACACTGGTTAAACTAGTCATTCCATTCCCTATCCATGAAACACTCTTTTAATGACCTCTTTCTGTTCTTGTGACCTTTTCCTAAGCTACATGCTCTTCTTGCTGTACTCTTTCAAGATGTCCTCATGTATTCTCATGGCTTCAATGGCTACCTATATACAAATGATTCAAAAATTGGTATCATCAGCCCATGTCTCTTTTCAGCCTAGATCTATATTCCTAATTGCCAATTTTAGATCTCTTCGTGGAAGTCTTGAAGGCACAAAAACTAAACTCAAGATCTCTTTCCTCCTTATTTACTCCTTAAAAGCAACCCCAAAAGGAGGGAGGTTTGTTTAAAATAGTAAATCAGTAAGTCATTTCTAAATTTAAAGAGAACAAAATTGGAGTTGAAGGATAAGGTTTCCAATTGGCTGCTGCCGTTTTTCTTTGAAAAATAAAGGTTTAAAAAACAAAACACCCCCACAGTAATACCACCATCCACCTGCTTTTTCAAGTTAGAAATCCACAACTGAAACTGCCCTTCTCTTTCCTTCTCCCATCCAAAACATAAGTCTTACCAATTTTATCTCCTAAATCATCTACTATCCATCCCTACACTTCCCTAGCTACCAAGTAAACACTGTTCTTTTACTGTGTATGTCTTTTAATATGGTCAACCTTGCCCCTTGCTTAACAAGTTGTTAGGATAAAGACCAGGATCTATATGCCCTGTATGGCCTGGCCCCCACCTCCCATGCCAGCCTCATTTCACATGAAACTTCTGCTGGACCAGCCTTCCAGCCACACTGGCTACTTTCCCTAATCACTTTTCTCTATATGGAACATTTCCTCACTTCCTGCCTCATGCCCTCCATGGGCAAGCTACTACCCATCTTGTATCCCTTTTGACAAAGCCCCCATGACTAGTTCAAACCATCCTAACTTACTCCCATGTGCTTCTCATTCTAGCACTTACCAGAATTGTAATTTTTTTAACGTCAGTTTTCCCCATAGGTACGTGAGCTTTATAAGGGCAGAGAATAGGTCACTTTTGGCACAGGAGATGGTGGATACAGAACACTCAAATATTTGCTAAGAAAAAGGATGTTTTTCCAAAGAATATGAATACGTCATATTATAAAATAGGTTTGGAGGTTTTATTTTATTTTAACTATTAATTTAAACCAGTTGACTGATAAATACTTTTTAAAGCATTTACTTATACATATCTTAATGTGTAAAAATTCTGTCAGTGCCCTGAAGCAGCATACTGACGACTATACAATGAAAAATTGCAGAAGACCAAGGGAGAAAGGATAACTTGAATCAAGGCAGCTGTTATACAGTGAAACCAATACTAGATAATAAATCTAAAAACCAGAGTGTGTTAGTCTCCCTATTACTTATATACTCTTAGGCACTCAGTTAAACCCTTCGTCTAAATTTCCTTACCTGCATATCAGAGTTTATAAAACATAGGTGAGAGTGGCCAAAAAAAATGCTTTGTAATCACTAATGCTCCACAAATGTTACAATCATGTAAGACCAAGGGAGAAAATGACATGAATATTGAAGTTGCCCTGAAGAGGAAAGAGAGAGGAAAAAAAAAAAAAATACAAGGTTTGTCAAACTAGATGTATGAAGCTTAAATACTGGCATGAAAACTGGAACTTCTGCCTTATTGATTCAGATAAACACTTATTACACAACGACTACGTATTGTGTACAATGCTGAGTATTGATAGATCTAAAGATGAGTAAGACACACATTCTATAAAATAAGCAAACATACATGCAAGCAAGCAGATATTCCCAATATGGTTTGATTCTTGCAATAATCAAAATGTGTTAGATACTTATTAAAAGTAATAATGATGAAAGAAGAAAGATGACAGGATGGGTGCAGAGGAGGCTGGGAGTAGAGGAGATTCAAAGCAGGGACACGTGCAATGCACTGAGTCAAATAACCAATGCAACAGCAGGAGATGAACCTGCAAGGTAATCAGAAGCCAGACTGAAAAATTTAAAAAAGTAAAGCCTAGCAAAATGTAAACGAAACATCTAACATGTAACTTGGACAAATGCCATACTTTTAAAAAATACATAATCCCAAACTCTGCTGTATTTGTTTTAAGTAAAATTGACCCCCCAAAATCAATTTTCTATCAGATATAGTTAGCTTATCAACAAAAAGGAAAGTTTTCAACCTAAAAACATTACCCTTTACTCTGCTTAGTATGTTCAATGTCTTATATGACCCTTATTCTTACATGTATGGATAATCATGTAAAAACTAAAAAAAGCAATTTCAACCATCCCAGGGGAAGGCATGAACTGTAAAAGTACCACATTTGGAAAGGCACAACAATTCTGTTTGGGCAGGTATTCTTATTAGAATGAAGTTAAGTTGGACAAATTTCAAACGAACAGCAGACAGCTAAAGCTTCATTATTTCACCTGAAGTACTTGCAGCTACCAATTTGCCATAGCAGGTTTTAAATTCTGATTCTGTTTAGTCCACTAAGTATACTGTTAATCTAACTAAGAAATGGAGAGAAAACTTAGTAAATACCACTTACATAATTCTGGATGAGACACGTAACAGTGGACAAGATAAAACTAAGATATAGGACAAGATCAAGACAAAGCAACCCAAACCACAAGGCAGCCTATAAAACATAAGACATACCAAAGTTCTTTGTATTACCATTTTAACCTACCCTACAAAGTCTCTACTTCACATAGTTTGAATGATCTTCAAATAGGTCAGAGGATCCCGTGCACAGAGGGTCATACCAATATGTAAATAAATGCTTTGCCCCCCTCTTTTGGAGAGCAAGGGTTTGGTAGAGTTAATGCTAATCAAATAGAGGTATTCCCTAACAAATAAGTGTCTTAGGAAACTCGAGAGGTTGTTCAATAAAGGGAATCTACTTCCTGGTTACTCAATTAAGAATAATTTACTATGTAGAAATTGGAGTAAAGTTAATCCAACTCTGCTAAAGAACAGAATAAATACATCACTCATTTTCAAAGACTTTTTTACTAACTGAATTTATAATGAGACAACTTAAGCATAAATCCCATTCTTCTTTTTCCCAAAGAAGACATAAAGGAATGTGGACAGTTAGGGGAAATGTCTAAACACTCAGATTTTGTTCAATCTTGAAGACATCTAGTCAAAAGAAAGGTAAAACTATAAATGAAAAAGGTCTTTAGCTTACACAGTATTGAAGAACTTTTTAGACAGCAATAAAAATTTCAAATATTAAAAACCATACTTTTAAAGTCTGGACTCAGAATCTAATTATAAACACAAAAAGGGAACAAAGAATAAGTTAACATACTACCTTTCGGTAAGTACAATGCTATCAAAAAAGAATGTTATCATTGTTTCCTAAACTTTGACTATTTTTCAAAGAAAAAAATTCCTCAAATCTTTAGCCCTCCTAGAATAAAGAGTCTGAAGTTTAAGTTAAACATAAAACTTTAATATTGTTCAGTGTCTCGGAATGCTGTGTTTAATCTTTTGTGTTTGTTGATGCATATTTTTATTAAGGTACAACTACTAACATTTATTGTATAATATGTGCCAGGTACTTTTTAAAACACCTTACATCTAACCCTCCTATAAAATGGATCTAATATTTTCCTTATTTTTCAGATAAGGCAACTGAGACACAGAAAGCTCAGGTGATAGCTCAAAGCCACAGACTCAGTTCCTAAATGATCGATCAAGCCAGTTTCAAATCCAGGTGGTCTGACTTCACAGTCTGCACTCTTAACTGCTACGGAGATGGCCTCCAAAATAATTATGACTACCCAAACAGAAGAACCACCATCGATAATTTTAGGAAAGGTAAAGCTTCAAAAAGTTACTAAGAAATTTCACAGACTGATAAAAGAGTGAAATTTATATTACCTGCTTCAAGAGCTCTTCTGTCACTGTAAGTATTTCTCTTTATTCCCTTACAATTTTGAACAGAGAAAGTACTTGAGCATCGAAAATGCCCATGGCACTAGGAAGGAGATGCATAACACTTGCCATTAAAGTGTAGGGGCAGATAAGTTAATGAATACATGCATTACTTATTAGTTTTATGACAGGCATAACAGATACCAGGCAGCACAAAAGGAGGAATGGTAACTAGCAGGGAGGGGATAAATACATTCTGAATGGATGAAGTGTACTATGCACCAAGTGCTGCATGCCCAGCCGGCATGGCTCCGCGGTTGAGCATCTACCTATGATCCAGGAGACTGCCGTTCGATTCCCTGTCGGGGCACATGCCTGGGTTGTGGGCTCGATCCCCAGTGGGGAGTGTGCAGGAGGCAGCTGATCGATGATTCTCTCATCACTGATGTTTCTATCTCTCTCTCTCCCTCTCCTTTCCTCTCTCTGAAATCAATAAAGACATATTTTTTAAAAAAAAGGTGCTGCAAAGACCTTGTACATTATGATATCTTAAACATTCTAAATACCAATGGTTCTTAAACATTTTTAGGTCACAGCCTTATTATGAATTTGATGAAATCTTACATATAATTTCAAGGGTTTCCAGAATATCTATAAAAGCTGGTCCACTAGAACCCCTAAGGAGGCAAGAGGAATTCACTGAAAGGTTTTCGGTTATAACTGATAGTCAGTTTAGTAATTTATCAAGGTCACTTGGATAGCAGTTTGGAGAAACAGTTGGTGGCATGGTGCAAATACCTGGATTACTCATTCCTTATAGTAATCCAAGTAGAAGATAATGGGAGGGAGGTTGCAGATGTAAGGTTCCAACCATAGAATACGAACAATACGAAGGAAATGGAAATAAAACCTTTGGTTACTGATGGGTGGTAGTACTATCCATTAAGATACAGAATTTGAAGAGAGTTCTGTCTTAGATATAATGACTGAGATAATTATAAAGCCACCAGATGAAGATAGGAAGATGAAAGCTGAATTTACTGGACGTACTCCAAAGAAATCTAAGCTGAAAGAAGTCTAATGAGTCACCAATACATATATGGTTCTTGAAGACATGGATATGGATGAATGCCCAAATTAAACCTGTAGAGAGTAGACAAAAGGGCCAATCACAGAACCTTGGATCACCCCAGCATCTGTGAGAGGCAAAGCGGAATGCAAAGGATGTAAGAGATGGCTACAGAGGGACAGGAATAAAGACCACCGCCACCAGGGGAGACTCTTGCAAACAAGCATCAAGTAAGGAGAGGACTTATGAAAGTTACTCTTCAACTCATGAAAATTTCTACTTCTGTAGTGAAATATAGGGTGCATAAGTTGTGAGTACCATATACTGATTAGCTATTTTGATTTCCCAGAGACAATGAAGCCTACTATCAGTAACTTTTTACTCAGCCAAGACATATTATTTTAACTATTCCCACAAAGGCTATTACAAAACTCTAACTTCTTAGTTAAGAGATATCCTGGATTCCCTTATCATTAAGAAATTAGATGAGAATGAATTCTCAAGTTTATCTTTATTTTCACTCTAATTTATCATCATTCCTCTTGGCTCAGGACAGGGCACTGCTAGTTGTTTTCCAAGATAACCTCTCAATTTCTGGTGTTAGAACCATCCCAATTCCTCCAAAATTTTGAGCAATATTCTCTATCCCTATATTTCAAAATCAACTAACATGATAAGTCTAATGACCTCTTTCAGTCTGAATCTATATGATCATATTGCTGTGAATATTATTAACCATAGAATCTTTTTCTAAAAGTTTTACTCTTCATTTTCATGATGGTGCTCTCTCCCAATTCTTTCTTTCATTTTTTTCTAGCTTCTCTAGCTTCCCTTAAATACCAGTATTCCTCACAAAGGGTTTGTGGGCGGCCCTATTTTCACACTACATTCTACTGTATATTTCAGGCAATCTACTGTATATTTCAAACTTATATATATATTTACACTACTCCCAAAATCTAATATGCAGAACCATTCCACCTAAGACCTATATTTTCAATTCTGTATTCAAAGTCTACCTCAATATTTTCTAGCCATGTGAAATCGAACGTAACTAAGAATGAAATGATTTGCTCCCTTATACTGTATCTTCTTCCTTTGATCTTTACCTTATGTAAAACTTGGAACCATCCTCATTGTTTCTTATTTCTTGGCCACTTCTCTCTTCTATGACCGAAACTTCTTTATAATGTGTTTTTCTCACTGCCAAAGCCTGTGACCCAAATTTTGCTCCTGGACACACACTTGTACAAAATACTAACCTCCCTAACTTCAGCCTTTTCTCCCTCTCATCTTTTCTCAGTTCAATAATTTCCAATTATGTCTTCTCCCTACTCAATCTTTAATAGTTTTCTATTGCCTACATAATCTAATCCAAATTCCTAAGCACTGGCTTAAGTACACTGACACAGCCTTTAGAGTAAAACAGACTGACTTAAAATCGTGGTTCTGCATTTATTCTCACTATGTTGACCAAAACAGCATTTCCCAAACTTCTCTAAAGGTAAGAATTATTTGGAAATTTGGACTCATCTGGGTTAGTCTACAAACCTGTGTTTTGTTTAATAAGTGCCCCAACAGGATTAACTCAGAAATTTGGTAAACACTGACAAACAACCTAATTCTGTTTCTTCATCAGTGAATGAGGCTATCTTTCACAAAGACCAAATTCAATAATCCAAGTAAAATACCAAGCACGAACCTGGCGATATAGTAGTGTACTAAACAAACACTCATACCCCTTACTAACTTTAAGAGTCTTCTTCTTCCACCCCACTTTCCCACTTAGGATTGCTTCCTGACTTCCCTAAGATGCTTTGATGTTTAGGCCACTGTGCCCCTCCTCATTCCCTTGGCTTGAAAAATATTTGCTAATTTTCTAATTGTTAAAATTCTATTCATTGTTTAAGATCAAGACAAAAGTTCTTCTATTCACTCTGAACCCTTCAGGTGGAATAAATCCTCTCAGTTCCAAAAACATTTCATTGCTACCTCAATATGGCATTTCTTCTACTATTTAATACTTAATTTTATATGCATCTCACTTACTAGACCATAGTCTAGTTCCTTGACAGCCGGCACCTAGACTATCTGAATTATAGGATTAAAAAATAGACAGATAACATATGAATAGAATTAAATAAAAGACTATATTTGCCCAAATTATAAAGAAAAAAATGCTTACTGGTTTCATTTTTTATGAAATTCTCAACACTAAGAATGATATGGTCACACTTTTCATGAGTATACATAATCAAAGCATCATATTGGAAGAGACTAAATGATAGGAAAATAACTATAAAACTGGGGATTAGAGTGAATTCAATATGAATTAAAATGAATTAACGTACAACTTTTAAAAAAATTCAATTTAGTGAAACAAGTTTTTAGTAACTAATGTTTTATGACTCATAAGTCCCTCTTATTTATAAAAGCTGATACTGTCTACCTAGCTTGGTTATTTAAATAAATAAATTGCTATGTAAAGAGAAAGTAGAACCTAGAAGAAACTGAAGATCTTTCCAAGATCTCAGACTTCTAAGAGCAAATTATTTTTCTTCACTTTCACTTTTTTAGGGAGACTTTCCTCTATGAGATTTTTGGAAATCTACATTAGCAATAATTTAATGTAAATAAAATTACTAACTCAAGAAAACATCTAAAAAATCAATATAAAATGCTCATATTGTATTAATTAGAAATGACAGATATTTGATTTACTGCATTCTACACCAGTATGCTTAATTTACTGTACCTCTGGAAAAACCATGATGCCATACTTACATTTCTATTACAGATCTCACAGATGCTTGCCACAAAAATGAAACATCATCTTCACTACTGGTCAGCCAGTTTGTAGTATTTTCTCTTTAAGGCTGCTTCATCCTGTGCTGCAAAAGAAAAAATTTCAACATCGATCAACAAATTATTAAATTACGTATGATCCTTTCATTTAACATAATTCAGTGGCAAATTTTATCTTACAAGTGAAAAAATTTCAAGACAAGGATGCCTGATTTCACCACTGCTATTCAACATCATACTAGAAGCTCTAGCCGGAGCAATTAGAATTGAAAAGACATTAAAAGGCATACAAATTGCTAAGAAAGATGTTAAACTACTTCTATTTTGCAGAGATAGTAAAACTATCTCTATCCTCTATATAGAAAATCCCAAAGAATCTGCAAGGAAGCTACTAGAACTAGTAAACAAATTCAGCAGCAGGTTGTAAGTTCAGGGCACAAAAAAGTTTTCTTTCTATATCTAGCAGTCAACAATTCAAAAAGGAATTCAAGAAAGCAATTCCATTTATAATAATATCCAAAAGAATAAAATACCCAGGAATCAACTTCACCAAGGAGATGAAAGGCTTGTACAATGACAACTATAAAACACTGCTGGAAGAAATGAAAGAGCTAATAAATGGACTGATAACCTGCATTCATGAATTGGAAGACTATGAAGATGACAATACTACTCAAAATGATGTCTAGATTCAACATTTTCTTATAGAAATTCCAGCAGCCTTTTTTTTTTTTGCAGAAATGGAAAAGCCAATCTTCAAATTCAAATGGAATTGTGCCTGGCCGGGCGTGGCTCAGCGGTTGAGCGTCTACCTGGGATCCAGGCGATTGGGGTTCGATTCCGGGTCAGGGCACATGCCCGGGTTGCGGGCTGCAGCCAATCAATGACTCTCTCATCATTGATGTTTCTATCTCTCTCTCTCCCTCTCCTTTCCTCTCTCTGAAATCAATAAAGACATATTTTAAAAAAAACAAAACAAAAAACAAATGGAATTGTGAGGGGCCCTAAATAGCCAAACAATCTTGAAAAAGAAGAACAAAGCTGGAGAACTCACATTTCTGGATTTCAAAATTTACTACAAAGCTACGGTAATCAAGACAATGTGGTATTGGCTTAACAATAGACAAATGCAGCAATAAAAGAGAATCCAGAAACAAACCCATTTATCTATGGCCAACTGATTTTCAAAAAGGGTGCCAAGTACTTTCAATGGGGAAAGAATTGTCTGAACAAATGCTGGGACAAGTGAATTTCCACATGCAAAAAAAAAAAGAGAGACTTCACACCATATACAAAATTAACTCAAAATGGATCAATAACCCTAATATAAGAGGTAAAACCATACAAGTCTTAGTAGAAAACATAGGGGTAAATCTCCATAATCTTCTATTTGGCAATGGATTTCTAGTTGTGATACCAAAAGCATGAGCAACAAAAGAAAAAATAGATAAATTGAACTTCATCAGAATTAAAACTTTTGGGCATCAAAGGACATTGTCAAGCAAGTAAAATGACAACCTACAGAATGGGAGACAATTTTTATCAATCAAGCCTCTGAAAAGGGCTTAATCTCCAGAATACATAAAGAACTCCAATTTTCCAATTACTAACAGCTAATGTTTAACAAAATAGTTTTTACTCTTTGATTACTCAAAATACATAAAAGATACTGAAGACAGACCATCCTCCCTCAACCCTAAAAGATTTTTAAGGGTGGAAGTCTCTGAGGAAGGAATGTTACAGCATAGTAAAAGCTAGGAAAATTCCAGAACAAGCAGAATAGGGAAACTGAGACAAATAGTTAAACAGCAGTTTGTGGCCACCTAGTAAATGCTATCTTCCCTAAACCAAGGACACTGAAGGGTTTGCAATTCTCCTCCCCAGCCAGAAGGTAGATAGCTTAAACCACCTTACTCAGGGAGACAGCAGAAATCCAATTAGTGCCATTTGCTAACCACACCCAAAGACAAGTGAAGTTAAGAGAATAAACCTCATTTTGATATGTCAGCATAAAGCTGATGAATATTCTACTGATCCTCCCTTAAGGCCTCCCCCTAAATGCCCAGGCTATAAAACCCCTGAAAATAAAGGCCTCCAATGCATGTGCGCTCCCCCACTCCCTCCCTCCCGGAGAACGCCAGTGCCCTTTCCTTCTCCCCTCCAAGGGGACCCCATGAGACCTGCAAACAGGGGAGCAATGGGCAGCGGCAGCTTGCCCGGGCTTACCCCCTGAACCTCCAAGGTCCCGGAATCTTGTCTCCAACACTCCACCATTCCCCCCTTTTCTCTGACTTCCCAGTGAGCCAGAGCAGCCCAGCCTAGGCTCTCCTGTTGCTTCTTCTATGCCCTTCCTTGTTTCATTGTCTGAGTATATTTTTGCTGCGGCCAATAAACTCTTGCTTGCTTTTCTACAAAAAAACAAAAACAAAACAGGAAATATTCTGTATAAAAGCTATCAATGACAGAAAAGAAAAATACTTCAAACCTTCAAACTCAAAAAAATACAAGGACCAGTAAAAGAAGGAATAAGATGGGCTGTAATTTAGCATACACATCTTTGTATTTCTTAAGAGTCCCAAACTGAGATGTAACTAAATGCCCTAATGTTTCCATTTTTAGCTTTCCCTCTCATCCCCTTAAAACTCAGCTTACAGAAGGCGCATGAAAACTCATTTCAACTACATGGGGATCCAATACTTTATTGTAAAGAATTATTTCCCTTATTGCATAGCAATTCCCTTAAAAAACATTAGTGGATAGCTATCTACAGCTTTCACAATCTTCATACTCAAGCATTAAACCTTTACATTTTCACCCCAAAAATGTGAACTTTGCATTTTAACAAAACATGAAATGTGAATGTGAACAAATATTGTCTTTTAATCATATCAAACAGAAGTTTCACAGCCTGCAATTATTTTGTAAATAATAAAGACTCTGCTGCTAATTATCTGTGAGACTCTGGTCAAGTAATAACTCTCGTGTCTTATTTCACCCTACTCTATACTTCTGTAATTCTAAATTCTAAATACTTTAATTAACAGTCATTTAACAACAGGTTTTGTTTTAATTAACCCAAAAGGTAATAAGCTATGAACACTAAATAGTCCACAATAAGCACAAGTGGTTGCAATGTTAACAAGATGGTTTTCATACCCACAAATATTGCTCCTAATTCAGCATGTTGTTTCACAAATTCAGGTTACTTAGGCACAGTCAGAAGCCAGACAAGAGAATGGAAAAGGTTCACCATCTTCTGTTAATACACTGGGAAAAAAACATTCAAATTTCAACTAACCCTGTGTCAGATGTTTCATGCTAGTAAATGGCTAATACATACTATTGCCTAAACACATCAATATCGTGAAAAGTAAAGATTTAATACTATCTTTTTCCCCTAATGAGTCAGGAAATCACTTTTGAATTATTAAAAAAAATTTGCCCCATTCTTCTGAGAATTCAAGTTGGTGGACAGATGACACATCTCCATTTCTTTATTACTTCATCTTCTCTAATGACCAGCTTTTTAAAGCATAATTTTCCTGATTAGACCACCACCACCATTTTAACAACCAATACACAACAAAAACCTTCAAGTGTCTACCATTATTTTCATTTTGCCCACAACTTACAGTTCTAAATCAAAGACTAGGCTTAATAAAATGCTCCAATTTAAGATACACAAGGCTAAACCAAACACATCCAAAACCTATTTCTAAGTGGCTTTCACTCTTCCGTTTTCTCTTTAAAATGAGACTGACTTGACCTATTTTCATGTGTTTTTAGAACACCCAGGCACTCATCACAAACAATATTTGCTGGTCACAAAAACATCAAAGCCAACATCTTAAGTCTATTTGTGCGGGTCATTTTTTTCATGTGTCCTGTACATATATACACCACGTCTTTAAAAAAAAAAATCTAAATATAGATTCATTTATTAAAAAGTCTCAAGTCTCTAAATTCTGTAATTATATACTACTTTCAACGCCAATTTATACTTTCACATGCTATTTAAAAAGTAAACACACTGGGATGGGAGCAACTGAAATGTCAATCATACAAAGACAAAGCGTTTTCTAACATTTCTTGGCCTTCTTGTCCCCTCAATTCGTTTCATTACAAAAATATTAAACACAATGTATGTACTTTCGAAAACTTGCGAAATAACGCTCCCTAAAATGGCATTTAGGGAAAAGAAAATACGAAAACGGATACCGAGGGGGAAAAAAGATCTAGTTGCCAGAATGTGTGTGTAAACTCAATACGGTTTCGCAGCCTGCCTCTAGACGCCTATGGAAAATAAAACAGCGACAACAATGGGAGACCCGAACCCTTTCGGCCGGGATGGGGGGTAGGGGAGAGAACCCCGCACCCAGCAACCACAAGAACAAAGCAACAGCCTCCGCTTTTAAGATGCACTGAGGTTTTTCGGAGGCTCAGCCGGTACTGAGATCGCTCTTCGTCGTCCCGATGCTTTAAGAATCATCAAAACAACTTAGACTCTGCAGCGCTGGGTTTGAGCAGGCCGAGGTGCAGGGCCTGCCCTCCGCGCTGGGAAGACCCCGACACTGAGCAGGGGGAGGCGGGGAAGGAGAAAGCAGCAGCCAGAGACGCTCCGGAAAAAGGCCAAATGCAGGGACTGGACGCCCTGGCTGCGATCTGACCCAAGGCCCGGGCAGAGGCCTCCGCACGGGACTCGGGCAGCAGGACACCCCCCAAGCCATCGCCGCCCCTGTATCTAGAGGTCAGAAGGACCCGGGGCAGAGGCCTGACACCACCGCCGAGGGGAGGCGAGAGGGACCCGGCTGGCACCAAGCGCGGCGACGAGGACCCGGCGGAAGAGGCTGTGCAGTAATGGCCGCGGCTCCGCCTCTCGCACCCCGGCCGTGACCGGCTCCGACCGTCGCCCAGGACGGGGGCTGCGGCGGTGGCCGGCAACGCAGAGTCCTCGCGGTCCCGTCGCCTGCGGCAGCAGCC